CCATAATATAAGAGAAATAGCTTAAATTTGCTTTATCCACTTTTGAACATAGAATGATAGTTTTATTAAAATTTTCACTATGATTGATTAGAATAATTATGAAGTTTGCGAAGAACCCTTATTTAAGAACATTTACCTATCACATACAGTCAAAATTAGCCTGTGGTATCAAGAGAAATTACGGGAAAGTATAACCAAATAGAGCAAGACAGAAAGATCGATAATTTTAATGATATCCTGGAATTACTATGGTATTTGCTCTCAAGTGATAATGAGACGTAAAAGCAACGGCGAAACATCAAAAAAATTTCGACCCATGCACGAAGAAGTGATTTAATCCCGTTTTCGCAACTTGATTGTGTTATCAAAGGAATCTAGTTGGACACACCCAATCCGTTGTCCTCTTTAATCGTAGCTATTATAATTCACAATGTTGGACCGAGGACTTGGTACAATCCCAGACATTTCGCTGGCAACATCAGTTAGTCCAGCTAGACTTGGAACCAAGCTATGCGTCAGAGACAAGTGAAGTCAAACCCTTGACCATTCTTATGCCCAAAAGTTGTATTATCACTTATCACGCAGGGAATTATGATAAACATCGGCCCCGATATATCATTTTGTACTCCTCGATGTACTACGCCATGCCTACAATGACACCATTGGACGTCTCCAAGATTCAATCAATAGTCAGCTGATGAATTCCTTAAGCCTAAATTGTAATATGAGGCAAGGGGTCCAACAACAACAAATTTTCATTCACTAAATCTGAGCCTCAATTCATTTCTGCCTCATGCTGTTACTATACCCCATAATTCGGCTTTTGATCAGTCCTAAGAATAGTATAAATAATACAAATAAATAACTATCTGAAGGTAACCTTAATCAAATCATAATAATAAGTACATCTTCAAAAACTTACTTTTGCATTGGACTCAGCTCAACACGTACAATAAATTCGCCTTTAGAAGGCATATTTCTGAGTACGTCTGCTTTGAGTCGGCGTAGCAAGTGTTGGCCCAACATTTCATGCAGTCTTTTGACCTGTTCTTCCTTCGATATATCTGCAAACTCGTCCAGGAACCCTTGCATGTCGTTAAACTTTTCTGGCGTCATAAAATGCAGCAGATGGAAAAGTTCTTCCAGGTTATTTTGCAGCGGAGTCCCGGTCAGCAGGAGCTTGTAGGCGATCCTGTATGCACTAAGAATGCGGAAAAATTTTGATTGGTTATTTTTTAGCCGATGTGCCTCGTCGACAACTAAAACGGCCCAATCGATTGAGCCCAGAAGAGCCTGGTCGATGCTGATGAGTTCATAACTGGTGAGCAAGACGTGAAATCTGACATTGGTACCTTGACGCATACGGACAGCTTTGTTGCCACCACGCACAGCACCTTCGTCAAGCGAGAATTCGTGCTCACGGATCACAGTGCGAGAATCTTTATCTCCCACATAAGAGACGACGTAGAAGTCAGGTGCCCAAAACTCAAACTCACGCTCCCAATTAATAATAGTGGATAGCGGTGCAGCGACGAGAAAAGGGCCACGACAATGACCCTCTTTGTAGAGCGAATATAAGAAAGCGATTGTCTGCACAGTCTTTCCAAGACCCATTTCATCAGCCAAGATAGTGTCCACACGATTGCCATAAGAGAAGCGCAGCCAGTTGATTCCTTCCAACTGATAGGGGTGAAGCTGGCCACCAGTCTCGTCAAGGAATTCAGGCTGCTTGAGATATTGTCGCTTTAGGTCGGTAAGAGGCCCTTCAGGGGGCAGTTTTTTCAGCAACTTAGGGCTAAGTTTCTCCAGTTCACGTTCTAATTCCTTGGCAGCAGTCACAGCGGCTGTAGGACCAGTATCCTTAGCTCTTCGACCTACTTTGCCTTTTTTGGGTCCAACAGAAAGGCCTGATGCTGCAGTCGCCACCATCGTGAATTCATCGCTAAGAGGAGCGATTGGCCGCACTTGGCCTGCGAAAACACGACGCATCATTTTGTACTCCTCGATGTGCTGTGGCATGTCGGTAATGTCTCCATTTGAAGTCTCCCAGGTGCAATCGTCATATGGCAGTTCCCGCCACTTTACCAAATACCACTCACGACCCCCGCGGCCGACTCGATGATTAATGATGCGCTGGATCTGCAGCCACTCTGGCCGCACGCCCCACTTGTAGAAGCGTTCTTCTAAGTTGTGTGGATCCGCAACTCGCTCGCGAGCTCGACCCCTAAAAAATTAAATGAGCGTGTTGAATTTCGCATACATAAAATGATTTACAGAAATAAGCGTGAATGCTGAGTAGTAAGGAGTGTAAAGAAAATAGGTGCCTAAAAAAAGCTGACTAGAAAATAAAGTGGACTATGATTATCACCGCCAGCCCTTTAAATCAAGAGCTGCCTGCTGACAAAAATGCCCTTGAGTTAGACGAAAGAATACATATTAGAGCTACAGTATAATTTTTAACATATTTGCACAAGATATTTTAAAATGCCATTCATAATTACAAAACGTCAATTTTTTTCCTCAATTAATGCCAAGATGCAAGATAAACTATTAAACAGTGTAAACTTGACATATAATATAAAAATGACCACGTGCTTAGATCTATGCATTGAGCACCGATTACGCTTTGTGGATGTACAAAGCAATTAATGTAAATTCAAATGCGAATATTTAATGTATATAAGTAGAGTTTCGAGACTACCAATAAATCAGTCATCAGATGTATTAATCCTATCCCGATTAAGATGAAGAACTAGTAGCAGAATTTGCCCACAATGATATGAGCTGACGTTTCCAGTGAATTTCACATGGCCTTGTGTACCCAAAAGTTGCTCTTATCCAGGTTGGATTACAGTTTCGACCTCACGTGTCATCAACACCCCAGCGGGAGTCGAACCGTGACAGTGCAGCACGTGAACTTGACACATTAACCACTTAGCTACATTGCCACGAGTGCCCTTGGGTCACAGGGCAGATGTGAATTTCAAGGAAGGCTAGGCTTTTTCCCATATCATGT